CACTCTTAAATTTTCAAAAAAAAATTCAACCTTAGTGTTGCGACTGCACGCTCCAAAAGTTTGTATCCGTTAACAATAACACATTAAAAAAACAAAAAACAAAAAAAAAACATATTTCGATTCGCATGATATTTTTTCGTCTCGGATGTTACCTGAATTTTATCAAAAACAAAATAATTTCCATGCCTGAAGATGACTGAATGTACAGTTGAAAGTACTTGCGTATTAAAGAAAGACCTCATACAGCTTATAATTTTTAGAAACAAGGATCATAAAATTCATCGAGGGATTTGTAGTTTAATGCACCTTTAAAATTTTGTTAGCCAAGGGATTTTGCCATTTTATATCATTAATTTTACTAATCTACTTTTTGTGTGAATGATTCATTGTAATATAAATTGAACTGCACATATTTATATATATATATATATATATATATATATATATATATATATATATATATATATATATATATATATAAACGTTATAAAAAGAGACGCTGAAGGAGTCTCTCAAGCATTATGGCATTCCCCATTCCATTTGGGAGGAGTCTGCTGAGGACCGCTCTCCTGTGTAAGGTCTGGAGTGTCTGATTTCGATGAGAAAAGAATCAGGGACAAAGAACAGAGACGCCAGAAAAGGTATGATCGAGAGGGCTCTACATCCTAGGCGGCTTCAGCCCCCAGCATCCCATGTCACAACTACAACTGACTTTTCAGAGCGAAGATTGGACTCATTAATCATCTCCGCCCACACCACGCCCTCAGGTCAAAGTCATCTCCTCATGCAGAGGAAGAACATGATATATATCTATATCTAGATATATATCATTTATAAAATATATATATATATATATATATATATATATATATATATATATATATATGTGTGTGTGTGTGTGTGTGTGTGTGTGTGTGTGTGTGTGTGTGTGCTTGTGTGTGTTAGCAACAACGGAAATATAAAATTTGATCTTAAGGGATGCAAAGTGATAAATTCATTATACTCGTGGTCATCATTTGTCGATAGAACCACGTCCGTGTCAATTAAA